AACGAGATCGCGGATACAAGCGGCCAGATCACACGGCATCTATTGCACGTCTGTCCGTCCTGGGAGAGGGATCCCTCCTCTGTTGTTCTCCCTGAGGTTTCTCCCATTTTTCCCTTTAAACTGTAGGTTTTTCCTTGTACAATGTGAGGGTCTAAGGACAAAGGGTGTCATATTGTCATACTGATATTCTGCACACACTGTGAAGACCACTGAGACAAATGTAACATTTGTGATATTGGGCTATATAAATAAACATTGATTGATTGATTGATTGATTGATTGATTGATTGATTGATTGATTGAGATGGGTTTTCTCCGCAGGGTGGCTGGTGTCTCCCTTAGGGATAAGGTGAGAAGTTCAGTTATCCGGGAGGGACTCGGAGTTGAACCGCTCCTCCTTGCGTCGAAAGGAGCCAGTTGAGGTGGTTTTCGGGCACCTAGTAAGGATGCCACCTGGGCGCCTCCCTAGGGAGGTGTTCCAGGCACGTCCAGCTAGGAGGAGACCGAGGGGTAGACCTAGGACCAGGTGGAGGGATTATATATCTTCGCTGGCCTGGGAGCGCCTTGGAATCCCCCAGTCAGAGCTGGTTGATGTGGCCAGGGAAAGGAACGTTTGGGGCTCCCTGCTGGAACTGCTACCTCGCGACCCGACCACGGATAAGCGGGAGAAGATGGATGGTGTTGAGAGATTTTGTTTCAACAACATTTCGTCACTTAATTATACTTCCGCTGAAGAGATATGGTTCAAAAGTGATTTATATATATTGGTATTGCAATGCAATTTAATAGCTATTATTTATACCTTTCTGAATTGAGCATTACATTCTCACATGTTGCTTAGCAGTGTTAACTTGATCCTCTAAAAATCTAAATCTTGTGAATCGTGTTACCATGTTTTTGGAATAGTAGCTCAATCTATTGGCTTTGAAAGGTTTTCAGCGTCTGTTAATACTCACCCTCGGGCTGGAAACTGTAGAGGTCAGTGGTGCTGAGGGACAAGTCAAACAGTGGGTTACTCTGGGTGTAGGACACCTTATCCATGGTCTGGTTCACTGATGTCTCCATGCGCTCTCTAGAGTCCCTTGTCACCTTCAATTCCTACTTCGGGAACACTTATAACCCTCGGTGCATGATGTGGGATGGAAGAACTCAAGGACATGGGTTGAAGTAGAGGAAGGAACTGTATCTGAGTGGTAGCTGAGGTTGCACAAATGTTGCTGTGAAACACCCATTTAGTAAAGATGGAAAGTAAAATGAGGAAGTCACTTTAACCACATATGCAAGAAAGCCTTGCAAAACAAGGAGAAACAATTTGTATGTTTCTGCATGGTCTTTTGGTTGGTGTGTCTCTTCTGTTGTGTTTGCTCCCCCCCAATGAAACTTAATATATAACTTCTGATTAAAATGACTTGTGTGTGTGTGCCACTCCCCATGGGTCTTTAGCAACACACATCTTAGAGGATTATGAGGATATCAAAGCTACCATATTTCAAGTGGAAATACCAAATCGCATGGGTTCCTTCGACAAAAAAGCAATGCAATTTCTGCATAGGATTTTGGAAAATAGCTCGAAATAAGGTCTGTGGTTGACACACATTTAAACAACATTGATAGTTCTCATTCATAACACTCCGTTCGATGTCTCACTATGGCAGTGGTTCTCAAACTTTTTCGGTCAGGCCCCCCCTTTGGAGAAAAAAAAAAGTCGGGCCCCCCCAACACAAATAGTCAGGCTCAGTGGCGGCGCCAGAGATTTCTTTTGGGGGTGCTGTGGGGTAGCTTGACCTTTCATAGAGCGTGCTCAAACATTTAGGGTTTCCCATTAATCTACCGGTCGCTACAGTGGAATTTTCTACTGCAACACTCCCCACGCACATACACTATGTACCCGCGACTGTTACAATGAAGGCTCGATATCAAGTCTCGGCATATAGGTGTAAGCAGGGGTAAAGTGCTATATTTATAGGTGGTGTGTGGACCTCACATAGGGGGGGTCCGGGGGCATGCTCCCCCGGGAAGATTTTTAAATATTGAAGTTGAAAGCATCAATCTGGTGCACTTTGAGAGCAAAATGAAGAGATCTATGGATACATCTCTCAACACCCAGATGAAACAGAATTGTAAACAGATTTACTATTTCTTTATGGATATTTTATAAATCACTCTTTTAAACTTTATTCTTGTTTTACTGTCATATAGTATTTCATAGCTGTTTTTCATGTATTCTCTTATTTTTTTATAACTATAATGATCATATAAACGTGTGCCTCGGAAATAATTGTTTACATTAATGGTGACCAAAACGTTTGAGACCCACTGAGATAACACTGAGAGTCCTTTAGCTCACTGAGACTCTCAGTCTGACAGGAGAGGACTCTCCTCCACTTTGTTGTTAAAAAAACTCCTTATATCCGTTAGCATAGCTCGCTAGCACCAGAAGCTAACATCAACGATCTCCGGTACCGGTGCGCTATCTCTCTCTCTCGCTCACGCACGCACACAAAATGGCTCGTTCCACACACACACACACGCACGCACGCACGCACGCACACACAGAGCCGAGCTTTAATGAAACACAGAGACCCAGACGTAATAGTACTGTATCATATTATTTTCGAATCAATAATTTTTCAAAATATGATTTATTTATTTTTTATAATCTTTTTTTTTTTTTTAATAACCATTTTTCCTCCTGGTCTCTCGCGCCCCCCCTGTCATGCCTCTGCGCCCCCCTGGGGGGGCGCGCCCCCCACTTTGAGAACCACTGCACTATGGGATGAGCCTCAACGCGTATGCAAACAGAAGCATCAATCTCATTACGCCAATCCTGATTGGCTGGTGATCTTGACGTCAACGTCAGGGAATCCACCCACCCTTTAAGTAGCTTGCGCTACGATGCAGCGTCATTCAAACACCTCTTCTCGCTTCAGAGCACATCTCGAATATCAGTAACCGGGCTAGCTTAACGGTCCACAGACTGAACCCAAAGCTAACATTCGGTCGACGGGCGCTTGCCGGTTACTTTTTTGCTTTGCAAGAAGACTGAACAATATTAACACACCAGTTAATATTGTAATCTGCCTCGCCGTTTCTTTCTGTCGAAATAACGGTAAGGTTTGATTTTTTTCTTCAAGCTAGTAACATACCTGTTGCTAGTTTTTTCTTCCCTCCACACCGACACCACGGTAAAGAGGACGTTCTATTTTCTCTCTCACACCAGAGGAGACAGAGATAAAAAAAGAGAGGTATTAACACACCAGTTAATATTCTTTAAAGAATAAAATCTACACCGTCGCCTTTTTTCCTTTCGGACTAACGGCAAGGTTGGATTTTTTTCTCAGTAACGTACCTGTTACTAGCGCGTCCACTCCACGCCGACACCCCGGCGAACGAAGATGGACCCTTCTCTCCCTCACACCAGAGGAGTCAGGGACTCGGAAGCTCGGCTATGCGGCTGCGGCTTTAACATTTCAGGCACAGACTCACACCAGGTCTGCTCATCCTGCCTCGGGCAGGAACACGCCCAGGAGGCTATCGATAACCCCGGCTCGTGCGGGTATTGTACCCGCTTCACCATTAAGAGCCTCCGCCGACGGTTAGCACGCCAAGCTAGCTTGTCGGGACGGGACCCCCTCATGTCCGCTGATTCGCCGGCCGGTGTTGTGTCACATTATGCCTCCCCGTCATGAAATGCCCCCCTTGTCACGGGAACGCGCATTTCTAAATGACACGTTTCACCTCTAAATGACACGTTAACACCATAGGTTTACACCTTAAAACGATGTTTAAAACGAAAAGTAAACGTTCAGGGTTTTTATTAATGGTAATTTTCAGACTGTGAGTTGTTTAGTGGTAGCTCATAGTCTTGATTATTCTGGTTTAACTTTTCGCTCCGTATTTGAGGTGTCGAAATTCGTTCGTCACTTCCTTTTCAGTTTGTTTTTTTAAATGTTTTTTTTTATCATTATTGTTACGTCCTGTCTGTATAAACGTGCTTTAAAATGTATTGTTTAATTTTATATAGTTGTCATCTAATAATCAAAATATGTTTACAAATGTTACATAGTCTTTGTCAGCATATATGCTATGCGTACAAAATAAAAGTGTGACATTCATGAAACTTGCTCCATTTATTGGTACCAGTCCTAGAACCATACCCTGAAAAATGCTTGAGGGTGGGATTCATAGAAACCTATTTTGGTGGGGGGGGAATTATATGACAGGCCTGGCCATCACAATATGCCCCCCCTTGCTATCTTACAAAATAAAAGTGTCACATTCATGAAACTTGCTCCATTTATTGGTACCAGTCCTAGAACCATACCCTGAAAAATGCTTGAGGGTGGGATTCATAGAAACCTCTTTTGGTAGGGGGGGGGGAATTTTATGACAGGCCTGGCCATCACAATATGCCCCCCCTTGCTATCTTACAAAATAAAAGTGTCACATTCATGAAACTTGCTCCATTTATTGGTACCAGTCCTAGAACCATACCCTGAAAAATGCTTGAGGGTGGGATTCATAGAAACCTCTTTTGGTGGGGGGGCATTTTATGACAGGCCTGGCCATCACAATATGCCCCCCCTTGCTATCTTACAACATAAAAGTGTCACATTCATGAAACTTGCTCCATTTATTGGTACCAGTCCTAGAACCATACCCTGAAAAATTATTGAGGGTGGGATTCATAGAAACCTATTTTGGTGGGGGGGGAATTATATGACAGGCCTGGCCATCACAATATGCCCCCCCTTGCTATCTTACAAAATAAAAGTGTCACATTCATGAAACTTGCTCCATTTATTGGTACCAGTCCTAGAACCATACCCTGAAAAATGCTTGAGGGTGGGATTCATAGAAACCTCTTTTGGTGGGGGGGCATTTTATGACAGGCCTGGCCATCACAATATGCCCCCCCTTGCTATCTTACAAAAATAAAAGTGTCACATTCATGAAACTTGCTCCATTTATTGGTACCAGTCCTAGAACCATACCCTGAAAAATGCTTGACAGTGGGATTCATAGAAACCTCTTTTGGGGTGGGGTGCATTTTATAACAGGCCAAACAATAGTTGCATTGGTTGAAATGACAGTGGACAGTTAATGATGGTTCCCTCGGGGCATTATGTGCATCCAGGGCACAAGTACGGTTGATCAACTGGCGGCCTTTGTACACATTGGTGGTGGTACCACTGCTGACAAATGTCACAGCAAATCTGAGAAAACAATAAATACTTGTTATGTAAGGTATGCATTATGGGATTTTGTTATGATAATAGAATATCTCTAATGTATTTCCCACTAACATTCTAACCATTCCTTCAATAATCGAAATCTTTCAAAAACATAAATGTTGTGTTATGAGAAAGAAATACATTTTCAACAAAAATGTATGGAAAAACAAGCAAAACATTAATCCTTTATCAGTTAATGCTGAAGATGCCAAATATAGTAGCAATTACCAACGCAAATGTTATGTTGATAAAGTCTGGAAACATATTTCTGCTAATTTTCTTTATTTGTAATGTGCAATAGGAAATTACCCAATGTTCTTCATCCTGCTCCTCCATCCCGCAGTAAAAGCAAAGCCTGCTTAGATCATCTGTTGAGACAAAACGTAATCAATATCTTCAGATAAACCACATTACAGATTTGGGGTCAAGGTGACCCATTCCAATTTTTGACTAAAAGGTCAATTATATAAGGACACATTTGTTGTGGTCTTTTATTATTTTGTGTGAAGAAAAGGCAAAACACACACAAACACATAGATTTTCTAAATGATTAAATCTGAGCACAGAGGAGCCATCTGCTCCTTCTTTCACTCTCCTTACCCTCTGTAGAATGGGAACCTGCACAATGTCATTACAAAACATCCAAAAACTTCTTTCGCACTGTACGCATCAATTTAAGTTTGGTTCTCATGGTTCTTTTGTTGTTCATCACATTAGCTTTACAGCTTTGATTATAATAAGTTCAAGGTAAAAATTAACTGAGGATATCAGTTAAAAGTAATACACACCAATGAGCACATTGAAAGGAGGAAGATGGGGAAATCTCACATCTTAAATAAACCGCAGAATTGAAAGGGTGTGTTAGAGTGTGACGTGTGTAGCCTATATGAAATTGCAGTTGAAGATGCCTGCCTGCGATGCTTCATATGTTATCTGTTTGGAGTTGAGATACACAATATACTGTATGTAGTGACTATTTACCCTAATCTGTACTTAAGCCACTGTGTTGCTTTTAAAACCCTGATAATGTCCCTGGTCAATATTAACCCAACAGTACCAATGGTCCAAGCAGTGATACAATACAACAATTTGCATGGCACATTATTAATATACTAGGTTATTGATGCATACTTATGAGATACAATTAATAAAAGTAACTACATGAAGTCATTGACAATGTTGAGAAAAGGTAACAAACCAGATTCTCTGAGGAGAGAAGTAGCAATGTCCAGCCTCAGCTCGTGCACTGCCTTCTGTGAGGTTTCAAACTCAATTGACTCCCCCAGTAAAATCTTCTCTGCAAACTGAAGAGAACCTTGATTAGTATATGGACTGCATGGTCTATGATTTTACCCTCAAATGGAATACAGACAAATTACCCAACAGATTTAAAGAATGACATGTTGTATATGTGTAGTTTGACACAATTCAATACATCTTTGATCAAGATGTATAAAAGCAAGTCAAGATATTCAGTCTAATTGCTACTGAATTTGAGTTTGAGAGTAATGTTTGGCTAAATGCATTTCACACTCACTTTTAAGGCCAGGACACCACAGGATGTGCTGTCTTGTTGGCGATTATGGGGGAGGGTGCTGCATGTCCATCTTGACACCTTGCAGCCTTTCATCCTCATAAAGGCTCTACAGTATGTATATAGTACATGTGTCAAGATGCAGCACATCATTGTCAAAATACTCATAAAACACCGGAACTAGTACACTGTATCAAATGTACCTTGTAGACTGCAGGCACACCTTCGTTTTGCCTTTCCCTTCTCCAAGTGGATCCAAGAAGAGGGTTTTCTTCTCATGGGGGTACATTACCTTTTATTATTCACATGGAAACACAACATGCATTAGGCAGGAACCATACATTACGCAGGTACGATGTAGGGTATTGTTTAGATTTGATCAATAATAAGTGACAGCATGTATGTGTGGCCCGGTTATCTTGCAAATCACTAATTATATATGGTGTATACAGCACTATAGATACAGATTGGAGCTTAAAATATGCTCCTATTCTCACCACCAACATCCAATGATGGTTCTCGTTCACAATTCCCACGATGACTGTGTGCCATTGGATCAACCTGAGAGTAGTTGCAAAAGTATTACATTCCTGTTTAAAAATGCACATTTGCAACATTTACAAAAGCAAAGTCATTCCAATCATGTACATACCCGGATTCTTCCAAATTTGTGTTTCCAGATGGCGGTCATAGCGTAGCTGTCAATAACAGCTGCTTGACCGTCATTGCGCTGGTTGATTTTTCTGGGTATGGTTCTAGGACTGGTACCAATAAATGGAGCAAGTTTCATGAATGTGACACTTTTATTTTTGTAAGATAGCAAGGGGGGGCATATTGTGATGGCCAGGCCTGTCATAAAATGCCCCCCCCACCAAAAGAGGTTTCTATGAATCCCACCCTCAAGTATTTTTCAGGGTATGGTTCTAGGACTGGTACCAATAAATGGAGCAAGTTTCATGAATGTGACACTTTTATTTTGTAAGATAGCAAGGGGGGGCATATTGTGATGGCTAGGCCTGTCATAAAATGCCCCCCCCCCCCCCAAAAAAAAGAGGTTTCTATGAATCCCACCCTCAAGCATTTTTCAGGGTATGGTTCTAGGACTGGTACCAATAAATGGAGCAAGTTTCATGAATGTGACACTTTTATTTTGTAAGATAGCAAGGGGGGGCATATTGTGATGGCCAGGCCTGTCATATAATGCCCCCCCCACCAAAAGAGGTTTCTATGAATCCTACCCTCAAGCATTTTTCAGGGTATGGTTCTAGGACTGGTACCAATAAATGGAGCAAGTTTCATGAATGTCACACTTTTATTTTGTACGCATAGCATATATGCTGACAAAGACTATGTAACATTTGTAAACATATTTAGATTATTAGATGACAACTATGTCAAATTAAACAATACATTTTAAAGCACGTTTATACAGACAGGACGTAACAATAATGATAAAAAAAACGTTTAAAAAAACAAACTGAAAAGGAAGTGACGAACGAATTTCGACACCTCAAATACGGAGCGAAAAGTTAAACCAGAATAATCAAGACTATGAGCTACCACTAAACAACTCACAGTCTGAAAATTACCATTAATAAAAACCCTGAACGTTTACTTTTCGTTTTAAACATCGTTTTAAGGTGTAAACCTATGGTGTTAACGTGTCATTTAGAGGTGTAAACGTGTCATTTAGAAATGCTCGTTCCCGTGACAAGGGGGGCATTTCATGACGGGGAGGCATAATGTGACACAACACCGGCTCTTTTTGGTGTGAACGCGATAAAAGAGTTCACATGAACTAAGTTCACATGAACCTTTGTGGGAAAAGTACCGCAGTGTGAATGCGCCTATTGGGAAATCAAGGGGGTTTTGGTTGTCTTTAATAGCTTCTTCTAATGTTTGGAGTTTCTCTTTTGTAATACATTGATTTGAATTCATTAGATTTATTGGTATGTCTTTGTACAAACTTTCAAAATGTTCTCTCCAGATGTCACCGTTTTGGATGGGTAATGCTTGTGGTTGTTCCACAGATCCCAGAATTGATTTTGATCAATGGCTTTCTCAATATCCTCAAGTTTCATGTGGGTATCATTTTGTTTTTTGTTCCTTATTGTACATTTATATTTGTTTAAAACGTCATTGTATCTAATGTGTAAGGCGGGGTTGTTTGGTTGCCGATGTTTTTCATTTGCTATTTTTCTCAGGTCTTTTCTGATGGTCTTGCATTCTTGGTCAAACCATTTGTCAGCGTTTTGCCTTTTAACAGGCTTCTGCTTTTGTTTTATAAGGTCAACTTGAATAGCTGCCTTGTGAAATATCATATTGATATAATCAATGGCCATGTTTACACCATCTTTGGTAGGAACATATTGATTTTGGTCAAATAGTGACATGTCATTCATCAGATCAGGTGAGTTCAAGGCCATGGTGAATTTGTTTCCACTGTCTGGGGCCCATCTGTAAGTAGGATGTAATGTATACAGCTTACTAGGTTCCCTTGTTGTGTCACTCATTGGACCTGAGAGTTTAAAGAACACATTGATTTGGTTGTGGTCTGAAAAGGGGGATTGCTGTCTGACAGTGAATGCACTGATAGTGGAGGGGTCCATGTCAGTGATTGCATAGTCTACTACACTAGACCCTAGAGCTGAGGAGTATGTGAATCTCCCTAAAGAGTCCCCTCTGAATCTCCCGTTCACTATGTACAGGCCTAAGGCCCGACAGAGATGCACTATCTCTTTGCCATTCTGATTGATTTCAGAGTCAAGGCTGTTTCGATGGCTGACGGTTGGTGTGGTAAACAGGGGGGGTTCACCAAATACATGGTGGCTGCCCTGTGGGTCTATGACATCAGGTTCAATTCCTGTTCGTCCGTTCAGATCTCCAGTTAGAAGCACATTTCCCTGGACCTGAAAATAGGCGATTTCTGAATGGAGAGTTTCAAAAATGTCTTCTTCAAAATAAGGAGAATCTACTGGGGGTATATAAATAGTACACACGTATAGATTCCTGTCAGTTATGCCCAGGGTTTGATCTAACCTTAGCCAAATGTGTGATTTACCTTGTTTTACTACTGAGATCTGATGGCAAATATCTCCTTTATACCACACCAAGATCCCCCCTGATGTTCTGCCCTTAAGTATGTTTTTTGATTCTATAGAGGGCACCATGACTTCATTATAACCTGGAGGACAGTGAGTGAGCAGATCATTTTTACACCATGTTTCTGTTAATATAATTAGATCAACATCTTTGATAGATTCTAAGAACTCTGGATTCTCACTCTTAACCTCAAAGGTTGAGGAGTGGAGTCCCTGAATATCCCAACAGCTTATATGAAAAGAACGCATATTTTTTTCAAAAACAAACAATCAAAATGAACCTGTATAGTGAGACAAATATATTAAAAAAAACAATTTTCACTAATATTACTATTGTTCTGATTACTACGATAACATATAAATGTAATGTCTTAGCTGGACAGAAGTCGGGTGCACAGGGTGTGCAGCATCATCCTGATCAGGGCTCTCGACTAACTTTTTTCCCCATCCTCCCGGGACCGTCCCGAAATACAATCTTGCCGTCCCGAAATTAATGTGGACCGTCCCGAAATTAAAATGTTAGTTTTTCTACATTATCATTAGTTAAAATCATTCAAAGCCTTTAACATAAATAAAACATCATACAAATCATTAGATGATATTTCATCAACCTTTTTATTTGAGTAAATCATTCAATCACATAAACAAAGGCCAAATATATTTAAACAAACGAGAAAGTTACTCTAATATTGAATCCAATCAGAGTAACCACTAACCAGGATGACAGTCTGTAACACAGTCAGGAGACCTTTACAAACGACCCCGCCCCCTCGCACACAGACGGGAGAGAGAGATCTCGTCTGGATTGGAAAGCTCGAAAATACATCATAGACGCATGTTGTAGTCTTATTGCATATTAGAAACGGAGTTGGTGAAACTAAAACTGCGATATAATGTGTATGTAGCAATAATACATAAGACGTATATTTAAAAAATGTCTCCAGTACCGATAAAAAGTCCGATAACGTCGGAGCTTAACGTTACCACTGTCTTTAATAATTCCGGCCCGGGGCCCTTTTATTACCGGGACTCGGTACCCATCCCTACATGGGGAGAGGCGCAGCATATTGCTAAGGACTAAATACGATGGAGAGTTCTCATCTCAGCCTTATTACCTATAGGGGATGAAGAGGAGTAAGTAAATAAAGAGGCCGGCACTCCAGGGTCTGGTTCTGCTGTGCGTTTTTGTGATGTAACGGTAAAACATTTCAGAATTCCTCCACGGGATGCCATTGTACTGTCAACCCGCGAAATACACACACTCAGTACATAGCTAGACCATAGACTGTATATATATAAATGGACGTAGTGTCCGTGACGTCACCCATAGGATTCTGAAGAGTTGCCGTGAAACCCTTAGTAGGCGGAGTCGGCCACTAACGGCTCGACTGTGACGTCAGAGTCTAATCCGGCCTGCTCCAAATAAGGGCAAAGAGGCGGAGCCGAGGCGGGACCTGCTGCCTCCGAACTGGAAGTAAACATAGCTAGTTCAGGCTAAGAAGCTAAGCTAACATGAAATACATGCATATCAAGTTACTGCTAACAGTGTCGTTCCCCTATATAAACGTTACATTCATAATCAAATGAGACAATCTGCAAGAGAATTAGCTATATTTTGTTATTCTTAATGCTTGTCACACGTTGAGAAAAGACGGACTCCTCCGCCCAGACCTAACGGAGCCGCAGTGGGCTAGCTCCGGGACGCCGGCTGGAGCTAGCCCCCTGCGGCTCCGTTAGCTCCGGCGGCCACCACTGGGATAATTGGGTCCCCTATTAACATTTGCTCCCGTTTAGCAGTATGGGCGTCATAGCCATAGACTATAAAAGTCTTACCCAAGGCTGAATCATAAACTAAAATGTATATGTATGCATAAAGGGTTACGTCCTTAGCTGGCTAATAAGTAACAAGCTAAGCTACCAAGCACACAAACACCTGCGAACGGGGTTAACATGTATAATATTATCATTTTAGACTTCTTGGAAGTTCTGTTAGTACAGCACGACATTTTAATTGTCTGGTATTTAATCCTTATATTTATTATAGCGCTTTATCAATGACTCTCAAAGCGCTTTACAAATACACATTACACATACAGATCATACATGTAATGGTCATCTACTGTGGACAATACCCACAGGAGCAAATTCGGGTGAAGTGTCTTGCCCAAGGACACAACGGCCTGACGCAGTGGGGCGGGAGCGGGTTTCGAACTGGAGTTCCCCAACACCCCCCTGATCTGATGATCAAACGCACAGACCACTGCGCCACCCGCATTTGTAACAATATTCCCTAAAAGGCACAATTACCACGAACACGGCTAAAGCTAAAGGGTCAAGTAGTAGTACTATGACTAACTAACGTTGTAGCCTCTATGGTTATAGCCTTGCAGAGTGGACAAGTTGCTGTTAGCTGACAGTGAGGCATGTACGTGTCCATCAACGTGACCACGCCCTAATTTATGCAAAAACATTAAGACCTAATATAAATAAAAGGGTCGTGTTAGAAAACAATTCACTCACAGATTCATAATCATGAAGGTGGAATCTAACTATATCGATAATAATATGTATTGCATCCATGTGTAGAAACATGTTTTTTTCTGCTGTAAAGTTGGGCATTTTAACATGGGGGTCTATGGAAATTGCTCCTTTCTGCAGCCAGTCCCTAGCGGCCCATGTATGAACTGCAGTGTGTGGCACTTCCGTATTGG